AAAAATTACTTTCATCATGATTTTCTTGAGGAAACTCATTATGACAACACTAAGACGTTTTTTAATTTGTTTTCAAACTATACTCACTATCTCATCAGGAATAATATTATAATTAAATAAAAATTTATTTGTATCTTACAAGCTGTAAGATTTTTTAAAAATTCAGATTACAACCTACGTCAATATTTATATTCTTATAGCAATTTAGTTTGAAAATTATTTATCATGTTAAAAATAACTATAACGTTAATAATATTTACGATCTTTTGCTATCTATCGACTATTATATTCCACGACCCCCCTTCAATTAAAAAAAAAAATTGTACGTATACATATATGCATATTCATTTTAGATACTTTTTTTTTTATGAGTAGATTTGCATTAGAACGATCCGTTTTTAGTTTAGAAGGGATATCACAAAGAAAATGAATTTTTATAAACATATTTAATTACGCTTGTGCAAATATTTTAATACAATGAAAAAAGAAAAAAGAAAAAAAAACCACACATGAGAATTAAGAATAAATAATTTTGTTAATAAATAAATTTTTTAAATATAAAACAAAACAAAAACAAATAAATTTTAATAGATTTAATACCTCGAGTGAATTTCGGCAGCCAATACTTCATTAGATAAATATTCGCCTCCTGTATCACCTTTCATTAATTCGCTCCACATTAAACCACTTTCGGACTTAGATAATTCAACCTCTAAAGTATCATTTTTATGTCTCCACGTTGTTAACTGCGCCTCCAGTCTATTAGGAGTTTCTCCACTTAATAGAATTATATCAGCTACCGCAATTAATACACTATTTGACGTTACATCTACTTTTGCTACAAGTTTATTGTACTTTTCAGGTACTTTTACATAAACGGTAATTGAATCTTCATCTTGTGACCAACAGTATTGTGGAATTTTTATTTGAGAGTCGTTAAGCGAAGAATCATCTTTAATTTTATCAAGCTTTGTAGAATCATACTCAAATTCAACCTGATTTTGGCTAATAATATGACAGAATTTTCCATTTTCTTCAATATAGACATTTTCAACTGGTCCTTTCACTTTCATTGAACGTTTATAATTCAACTTGATAATCGAATCTGTTTGATTAGTATTCTCATCGTAATTGTAAAATAGGAAAATAAGTTTCGTAAACTTTTTACCTTCGCTCTCATCTATCATACATATAGCGATAATTATTTCCGAGCTTTCTTTAATAAACCTTGCATCTAAAATGATTGCTGGCTCGATATTAAATACAAAATTTTGAATGCCCTTTTTATATTCTATTAAAAATTCTAGACTCCCTCCTCCATTACAAATGGCAAATATATTTTTTGATGCAAAAGCAATGGATGGATTATATTTAAAATTGCATGATTTTGAAATAATGCTGTTACTCGTATAGATTAGGTCTAATGATTCACTGCCCTTAAATTTCCAAATTTGTCCATCTTTATCGATAAACCAACAAGTCGAGTCATATGGATTTTTAAATAGATGATTGTGAAAAGCAAACTGTCTGGCTTCTAACCAAGAATCTTGCGATGCACTCAATTCAATACGTAAGATTTCTAAACAATTAAAGCTTTAATTTTTTTATTCATAACAAAAATTTATTTTGTATTTTAGGTTATATTTACCGGTTTGCAGTTCTATCTCTTGTTTACCTAATATGGTATCTGAACAAAATTGATATTTTTCAAAATTTGTATTTACAAGCTTTTTATCGGGACGTAAATCGATTATTTTTGTCATTTTATTTTAAACAATTGAAAATATTATACATAGGACAATTCTTGCGTACTCCGCAATTATTCATTCGAATTACACTAATGCTTTAGCAGACTAAATAACTGTATTTACGCTTGCCCTCTCTCTCTCTCTCTCTCTCTCTCTCTCTCTCTCACACACACGCACACTGTTCTTCATTCGCAATGCTATTACATGCGCTGCGTTTTAAAAATGGGAATGAAAGTAAAATATAATATGTAGAAAAATACTTTTCTATGACATATTCGATTATTACAAATAATATATTAGAAGGAAACTACGCCTATCTAAGAATTAACTTATTCATCGTATTTTTCATGTAAGTATATAACTATCAGATCTTTATTTATATATATATATATATATATATATATATATATATATATTCATATGCCCATGAGAATATTTTTATTATTATTTTTTTTTAATAACAAGCTTACACACACGCGCGTGCAAACGCACAATTAATAACAAAACAAAGCTATTTATGGTATTAATATTCAACAAAGTTTGTTTCTTCTTTTTTCTTTTTTTATAAATTTTTTAAAATATCTAAGAATATCTTCAAATTAATATCGCAGCTATGTAATATGACATATACAATAATAAATTAAATATAATTCAATGGCAGATTCTATAAATTTTATCTATTAATTTTATAATTTTATGTACATTAGTGACAAGTATCTTACAAGATATCAACGTTTAAATTCCATTAAATTATACTTTATCATAAGCAAAGTAATAGTAATTATAAATATAGTAATCACAAATGTAAGATCTCAAGTAAAAATAAACCAATAAAAAATGTTATATGGTATATAAATTTCTAAATGAAATCCGCCTTTAGACCTTAAATGTACTTATTATTCATTTCCATGAATAATTGAACTTTGGTAAAATAAAGAAAGAAGAATAATTAAATTACAATGACATCATCTGTGGTAAAAAAATAACGTAGCTGCCCATAATAATCGTTTCCAAATCCATCGTGGAACACGACAAGGAGCTAATCTGGCAACAGAGCCAGCTAAATATCTCATCCAGTCCCAAAGACCTCGAGGGGCATGTCCACCATTTATATAAAGAACATAGGTAAAGCCATCTTTACATTTTCCTCTGATATAATAATAATATGGAAGAAAACTGTGTAAACGAAAGTGGCATCTCTGATAAAAATGAATGGCTGGAGTGTTACTTGACAGAACATGAAGAAAAACTGCTTTAACGGATGAGCGTTCTGGTGCAGTGACGTGAGCCAACAATTGTTCCAAAAGAAGCGAAGCTATACCATTACGGCGATAGGCTCTTCTAACGCCAAGACTAAGTATATAACCGACTAGAGAATCTATTCCAAAGCTGGAACAAAGGATACCACGATCTTCTTCATTGAGCTTAGCATAAGGTTTGATCTCAGCTACAATCAGACCAATAATGACTCCTCCGTACACTGCAGCAAGAGCATAAAAACGCGAGGAACTCGTTATGTCTTCGTACCACGAATAAGGATAATCTACAAATAAAAATCATTATATTCAGTTTTATAAATAATTTGTTTAAGTAATACGTTCGTTTATAAATTTCTTAAATTATTGTTATTATATAATAATTTGATTGCAATACTTGAATATATATATATATATATATATATATATATATATATATACATACATACATATAATAAGATTTTACAGTGTATAAATAAATAAATGGTTTTTAACAATTTTAATTTAATACATTTAATGTTCAAATCTTAATTATAATTTGCTCTAAATGTTTGATACATCAATAAGTTAGATTAATAATACCATTCGTTAATTATACTTGACTGTTAATTAATAAGTTAAAATAATAAAACTGATGTGTGCGTGCGTTGCGTGAGTGCGTGAGTGCGTGCGTGAGTGCGTGCGTGAGTGCGTGCGTGAGTGCGTGCGTGAGTGCGTGCTTGCGTGTATTAATCGACAATAAATCGTTTGCATAATACATCGAACGCGTTACAAAAGCTATTTTTGACAAAGCAAATAAAGCCCAGCGCATCTAATTTAATTCGAAAACAATTTAAAAATATTGACACTGCAATCTCACAAGCATTAATCGCGAGGCAATGACAACACTTGGTATTGCTTAATCTGTCGGCTCACCTATGGGAAACCAGTCTTGACAAAGTGCTCGTACCTCCTCCAGATCGTCGGGGCAAAGGAAGCGCAATTGAACCTCGCCAAGAATACACAAGGGTACAGTGGCAGGCGCATTAACGCCATTCGTGTCGTGATTGTTGATATGCGGAACGTAACCGTTTGCCCCAAGGGGCCTCGCTCCACCACAAATCTCATTCGGAGCACTGGTGATACAGAAAGGACACTCGTTCAGGGGACACTTGTCTTTCTCGGCGCCGACCTCGGCGCACGCAACTTCCTTCAGCCACAATTTCTCATAGCGATCAAACGAGACGGCGGTCATCGCGACCCTCTTTTCGCATTTTACGAATCATTTGTCGAGGATGGATGTTCGTCGAATTGTCATTCCTTGTTTTCTTCGGACAACGACGATAACGACGATGACGACGATGTTGTCGGGATGTCACGTTTCCACGAGGCTCTTACTTGTAAATAATACATGCCAAAATAACAGATTCAGGGGCATTTTGTTATTATTTCTTTCTCTTTTGTCTACGGCGCAAGCTGACGACTGCACGAGAGATGAAAAATTGAAAGAAGAAAAGAAATACTGTCGCAAGCGGTCATAAAATTACCGGAAATGCCTCGTTAAATTATTCGATTAGTATAAAGAGCCTCTCCCGGTAAGTTATTCTAACCTCGTCGTATAAATTGACAATAAAAACATTCGCAGCTTCGAAACGTTGGGTTAGGAATCCTCTGTTGCTGAATGAATATCAAAACATAACCTATTTTGACGTATCACTTTAGGCTGCTTTATAAATATTTATGTACAATTTGAAGTTGTAATTCGCTCGTGGATAATAGCTGACAAATCCGCTTTATTATCAAGTTATAATAGTCAATAGGTGTGTTAGCTTCGTAAATGACGACAGCATCTGGCATGAAAAGGCGAAAGTTAAACGATTGTACAAAATTAAAGAATAGAATTAAATTCATTTGGGATAATATTTAATGAGATTATAAAGCATACTCCTTTTACAAAGTATTTGATTATCGAGCGTAGTATGTAATACACGCCTTACAACAATTTCTGTTATATTAGAATATTAAAATCAATAATATATTAGTAAATAATTGTCTTTGTAATTAGAATTATTAAAAAATGTTCGTCCAATGTTTCATGATAGTTGCATTGAAGTTAAACGCACTTCACTTTATCACACGTCCACGATTTATCGAACAAGGCGCCATCTTACAAAAGCTACTGCATTATGAATTATGTTATTTATGCCAGGCAATATTGTGTAATTTGAAAAAATATTCTAATTCCTTAGCGTCTAACTTATTTTATTCCTTACTTTTACACGAAGATGCTTTAATATTATTAACAAATGCAGCTGAGTGTTAAGTTTCTTGTGCGAGCTTTTGCTCAATTTCTTGCGCAATTTCTGTCACTTTGAAATCTGACTATCTTATTGCTTTTATTCTGCTCTGTGTTTGCATGTCATTAACAAACTTACTTCTTAATTTTCTTCGCATTCATATACATTCGTTAAAAAATTTCCACATAAATTGAACGAACATTTGCATAATAAATAAAATAATTGTATTATTTTATAACATCGTTCATTGTTTTTTGAGCATTTATATTTATATTAATAACGCGGGTAAGATGACAAAGTGAATTTGTCGAAAAATGCGGCAATTAAACAACGATATTATTAACACAATTGTACAACAAAATAATTTAATAAATGCATGTGATTATTGCATAATATGTTTTTTTTTTTATATACTGTGTTCTTTAATCTCGACAAATTTTCCTACTTTATAAGGAAACGTTTATATAAGAAGAACGCAATTAAAAGTATGTAATTTACTGTTCTGCAATTTTCAGAATTTTAATCATGGAACATATTTTTTCATGAAATTAAATTGTACGTAAAACTTACATTAAATCCATATGAATACGCGCAATGAAAGTTCGCTTGAGATTAGAAACATATTAAAAGCCAATTCATGTTTTTTTTTTTTTTTTTTAAATTTAGGCAGGTAGGTTCGCGCACCCAAGTCTTTAGCAATAATGTAAAATGAAAATATAAAGTATAATCAGTCAATGTTAACTTATTTCACAATCGATGTTTCAGAGTTCAGTTTTCAGCGTAAGTTTTACAAGTAGTTTAATAACTACGTAAGACATTGTTCTTCTTCAACTTCAAATTCACTTGAATTTAATTAAAAAAGAAAAGAAAAGAAAAGAAAAGAAAAAAAAAGAAAAAAGAACACTTCAATGCATAAAATTAAGCTACGTAAAAGATTATTATTAGTTGCAACGTGTTTGATGACTGATATTGAAAATCTGAGTTACAAAAATATATCGTTTGGATATTTTAATTGAATGTGTACGCGAATGGCTTAAATCTGAATATTAACTAAAAGTATAAATACTTTACGTATTTTGCATAAATTATGCAAAAGATACAAAACGTTGTTAAGTATAATTTAAAAAGCTTCAACGTGATGAGCAATCATTGCTTTTGTCCATAACACACACGCACACGCACAAACGCACAAAAATAATTATCCTACAGTTATGTAACGAATGCATACATGTAAAAGATTTATTATTTTTAAAAGCATTCCTTGATTTTCATTCGTTTTCAAGAGTTTTCACCCTTTAAAATCATTATTCAACAATAAAATCAACGAATAAAGTTAAAATGCGAATAAGATTTTATGAAACAATATTATTTGACAAATGTAGTGAATTTGATAATAAATTGATAGGCGTATTCTAATTCTCTTTTTTTGGTTAATCAGTCAAGCTGACTTATTCTTATAAATTATTAAATTTAGTGGCTATTCAAATTTTATAATCTAATCGAGTAATAAAATACGACGTAATTACTTTATTAAACAGCAAAATTAAAAATATTGTTTTATTTAAGTAGTAAGGTTTAGAAAGTTATGCGATTAAGTTCGAATGATTTTATATCTGACTGGATTAGCAATTATTTGAAAAGTATGAAAGTACAATCGCGAAATATGTTAAATTATTAAGCCGATATTTAATTATAGTCTGAAGTGAAAAAATAAACTTAGAAGTATATTTCGGATTTTAACTATTGTAAATAAATTAATAAGATAGTTATGTGGCTTTATTTGAAATATATTAAAAAATATTATCAATTGTTAATGGTAATCAGTACTTTTATTGCTATTGAAGGAATTCAATTAGTTAATGAATTACAATTTAAATTTCATTCGCGAGCTAATAATTAATTTAGAAATTTTCGTTTTTAATAACCCATTGTTCTTTATCATTTGCACTTTTAATTTAGTTACATTTATTTATATACAAAAAATGAAAGAGATTTACCAACGTATTTCAATATAATTACTGAAATTTTAACTAAATATATTTAATTAATATTCATTTAATTTACATTTCAATACTCATAATTTCCCGAATTCTAAAGTGATTATCATCTAATGCAAGAGATTAACCAAATATCCTACTAATTTGTTAAATGAGATCAGCCGTAAAGTTTTTAATTTTTAATCACACTTAAATAGATATTTAAACAGTACAACACACATTATGTTTATGTATATATGATTATTATTATGTTTATGTATTATGATTTATGCGTGATTATGCATGATTATGCATTATGTTTATGTATATATGATTATTATTAAAGAATATTGTCATAAACATTTTATGAAAATGAATTGAAACGATCGATTCTGTAGTTTATAAATGAAATTTAAAATTAATAAATATTTTAATATGGCTACTTAGGATAAAGATAGTAAGTTTGAATATAAAATTGCATAGTAAATGAATGAGTATCAATTTAAAGGGAAAATTTGCCTTCTCGATACGTTGAAAATCATTTAATAATAATAATATGTTAAATCTTTATTTCAAAATAAAAATTCAATTCTATAACTTTGGAAAAAGAAGCTTTGAAGACCTTGATTATCAATTATAGCTTACGTTGTTAAGCTTCTAAATAAGATTAGACCTTTTTTTTTCAAAATTTTTTATAGATTTATTGATGTGATACAATTTTTTTTTTTTTTTTAAATTATAATGGAATAAAAAAACTTGCTTATAATATTATTAGTGGATATTTAGTACTAGAAATTTATTATTATACTATGTATAATGATAAATTTTTATTTGATGCTCATTTTTTTTCTAAAATTTCTTTATATCGGATGTAAAATCATGAATCATGATTTATAATATTTAAGATAAAGATACTTTGCGTGACTACAACAATTCTATAAATTTGTTTCTATAAATTACAAAATTAATCTATCGAAAAGAAACTATCGATTTCCTTTTATATTATATATATATATATATATATATATATATATATATTATAAATTATTAATTATAACAAAATGTTCAAGACTGTTAATTTTTAGTAGAGAATAATTGATATAATAATTATATAGATAGAATATTATCGCACATTATTCGCATTTATTAGAAATATGAGTTAAAACAGTTGATTGTAAAAAAGTAAAAATACGTTATATTTGTATTAATTGTATTCAATAATTCGTCGATGTAAATTGTAATTAATTATTACTTAATAATAAACATCAACTAAACAAACAGCAATGTTTTATTGTTTACAGATATTCACTAGTCCATGGAATATAGATTAAAGCTGTTTTATCGAACTACTTTATTGACGTCTTAAAAAAATTAATTCAAATGGCAGTAACATACATACGCTTAGTTACGTTATTTTAGAATTTTTAATACTGTAAGAAATTGTT